AAAGTTGTTATTTTTCACGTTCTTTTTATGGTAAGGGCCATGGTGTGGCTGTCATATTGCTTAATATAAACTTAGAGAGGTTTCGTCTTCATACTTACAGGAGAGATCTTAGATGCTGGAGCAAATCGCAGCCCTAGTGCATATCTTAATAATCCTGCAGAAGAGCGCAGCAAATACAAGTACGATGTTGACACAGAAATGACCCTTTTGAAGTTTGTAGATACTGAGTGGGGCCCAGTGGGTAGCTTCAATTGGTTTGCAACCCATGGAACTTCTATGAGCCGTACAAACTCTTTGATAAGTGGGGATAACAAGGGGGCAGCAGCGCGATTTATGGAAGACTGGTTTCAGCAGAATGGTATTGGAAACTCATATTCTGATGAAAGTGTAGTTGATGGAATCCCTCGAAGAATCTCAAATATTATCCCAGACTTGCATGACAATCGTAAGTTGATTTCCCCCTTTTTGACAATCGTAAGTTGACAATCGTAATTTGTAAAAAGATAGTTACCAACCTATTTGGTTTAAGGTTTCAGACAAGCACTTTATATTAGCTGCTAGAGTTTTTAGTCTTCCCATAAACAAGTGCACAATTCTCTTCCATGTGAGTTTAACTCAACATGTTATGCAGAAGCCTGTCTTGTCATATGACACTTACAAAGTGCATGAGGCGTATGGATTTTAGAATTGTATAATTCAATGTAATCACATTATCTTTAAGGATAAAAATTTCTGGATTAAAATATACAATGAAACAAATATAATTAATGGAAAACCATTATACCATAGCAGTTTATTCATATTTCAGTTCTCACTGTCCATTTTATTTCCGGAAAAAATTAATAAGATGATACTGGGTTTCCATTCAGTTAACTAACCTCATCACCAGCTCTGTGCTTGTCAGATGCCTGAATTTCGACCTTTTAATCAGGTTAAGTTGCTATTGAAAAAAAAATCAGTGCTTTGTACAAAAGAAAAATCAAAATAAGTGATAACAATGGACCACTTGAAGTATTTCAATACTTACAACTATAGAGTATGCATCTTGGATCTGATATCTTATGACCAGATCCAGCCTGATGTCAAGTTGCACCATTGCGACAGGGAATTTGAAGGATATGAGAACTACAGCATAGCAACAAATGTTCTGCTTTTTGTTCACTAGATTAGAATAATATGAAAAGGGATAAATAGCTTCGTCCATTTACTTTTGATATCTGTCTATTGCAGACCATGAGCTACTAGAGCTCGCAGCATCCTTCCAGTCTTCTTCTGGTCAACCAGCAACCAAGATTCTTAGCATTGCAAAGCGTGTCAGGAGTGCTCTCAGGCAAGCTGACAAACCTGGATTTGTATCTGCATTTTGTCAATCAAACTGTGGTGATGTTAGCCCCAATGTGCTTGGAACTTTCTGTATAGACACTGGACTACCTTGTGACTTCAATCACAGTACCTGTGGTGGGAAGAACGAGTTGTGCTATGGCCGAGGACCAGGGTACTGAATCTTGTGCCATTCCATGCTTTTGATAGTAAAATACTTGCCTTTGACCCTGTTAGAATGCTAACTTTTCTTTTTTAACCTAACCTGGCAGTTATCCTGATGAATTTGAAAGTACCCGTATTATTGGAGAGAGGCAATTCAGAAAAGCTGTGGATCTTTTCAACACAGCATCTGAGAAATTAAATGGAATGATTGATCATCGCCACTCTTTTGTAGACTTCTCCCAGCTGGAAGTGACACTTCCTAAACAGGGAGGAGGTTCTGACGTAGTAAAAACATGTCCTGCTGCAATGGGTTTTGCATTTGCTGCAGGAACAACAGATGGACCTGGAGCTTTTGATTTCAAGCAAGGAGATAACGAGGTAGCCTGTGATTGTAATATTTATGCCTTATATCATTGTCTTCTGTCATGATATTCAGTGGCTGCGTATTTCTCTTGATTGTTGTTTGTTGTCATGTTATATCAGGGAAATGCCTTCTGGAGACTTGTGCGCAACTTCTTAAAAACACCAGGAAAGGAACAAGTTGATTGTCAGCATCCAAAGCCTATCTTGCTTGATACTGGTGAAATGAAGAAACCATATGATTGGGCAGTGAGTTGCTTTCTTTTTTGTACATCTTACACTAGTAGTGTGGGGTTATTTTCAAAAGTTTCCAACCAAGTTGATGCTGTATTTGCTCCAAAATTTCATCATAAAAACTTAACATAGTAACTTAATAGCTGGATCAGGTAAACTGTTGGTTCAGTTCTAGTCCTAATTTGTTTCTTTTATTTTTTTATGAAATTGAATTTCTTCCTGTTTATTTATTTTCACTGTTATAGATTGAGTGTTCAAATTCTGTCTTTCACATCAAAGAAATTAAAACTGGGATTGGGTATAGTTAACTGTATGGCCTCGTCAATTAGCAATAATGGGTAGAATTTCTTGATTCTGGACATTATAGCAGCAACCTCTGTGCTTGTTCACACGTGTGCACAGATTGACTGGTTGGTGTTGTGCTAACTATGAGAATGGCATGGTGTTATCAAAATAACTTGATTATCTTTTCCTATGGGTTTTTTCAGTTTCTTGTCTTTTATTTTGGAATTGAATATGGAATCAATGTACAAATGATTTGGAACTGAAACAAGTGTTTTGCTTCATCAATTTGCACATAGTGTAATCCAAGTTTGTTTTCCAGCTATGCTGAATATTTTTGGTTGATGCCATTCTAATAAACACAAAGAATTCTTTAGTGCACGTCCATGAAGTCTCAATCACACCTTAAAATAATGTGATGGCATCACACATGGGATGCACCCAAATAACATTCCATTGAAGGATTCCTTCCATCTTATATGCAGCATTCCTTTTTCTTTTTCAAAGATAGTTTGTTTTTCATGATTCAAAGTTTTTAAAGATCATTGAGGTCTTCTGGCATGGCATGTCTGCCTATTTTGTCTGTAACTATTTTCTACTGATAGGAACGCTAATGTTTGCCTGTTCGTGTAAAGAGAAAAAAAATATCTTTTTTTCTTGTCTGGCATTCCTATTAGTGACACTATTTTCATGCAGATGATTTTGGAACCACTGTTACTTTACTACTGACCAAACTGATTTTTCATGGATCATGCAGCCTTCAATACTTCCAATCCAAATTCTCCGTATCGGGCAGTTAGTCATCCTCAGTGTACCTGGAGGTACCTTTCATTGCTTCTTTCTTTTTCCTTTCATGTAAGGTTAATGGTTCCTTTTGCAGATTCATGTTTTACAATCAAACTAAGCTCTGAAATTGGATGGATGAAGAAACTGCTAATATTATAGCCATGAATTATAGAAAATGCTAAGAACAGGTTTTTTGTATTTCTCCAAATGGTGGTGATGAGCACACTGCTAAGGTGGTTGCTCAGGCTGGGATGAATGATGTCTAGTCATCCCCAGTAATGTCCAACCTTTAGTTGTCAAAAAGTCTGGTCGGGCTCAAATGAACTTGTGCAAATGGACAGGTTGCATGGCGGGTTGAAATTACACTATGCAAAAGAAATACCCGTGGAATATATAAAATAAAACTACATTTTGCTTCAGGCTAGTCCAATTTCATGTTGAGACGGGGCCAGCCCTGCCAAGTGCCAAACAGGCAAAGTTCATACCGCAGCCCGTGCCAAATCTTTAGTTCCCTAACTCTTCTTCGCAATCTGATTAGTGTAGGAACATTATTCTGGCATTAAACATGCTAGGAGTCATTCTTTCTTTGTTTTGATTTGTTGGGCTATTTAACTGGTTGATGATGATTTTTTGTTGAATTTACTTCCCATGCATTGTTTCTATGATAATATGCTTCGACCAAATGATTTTATGAGTTCATGGCTTTTCTGCATGATTGTTTCAAACAGAATTTACAACAATGGCTGGGAGGCGTCTTAGAGATGCTGTCAAGACAGTGCTCGTGAGTTCTGGGAATAGTGAGTTTAATAGTAATATTCACGTTGTTATAGCAGGATTGACTAATACCTATTCACAGTATGTGACCACTTTCGAAGAGTATGAAGTGCAGAGATATGAGGTGAGTGAATAATTAATGACAGATGCATGAGTCGTTTTCTTTCTTAGGAAAAAAATCACTGTGAAATGTAATAGCTGAGATATGTAGTTTTGACATTCAGAAAGCTATATGTTAGGCAGCCTTGCATGCATGGGAAGTTGGTTCATTAGCAAAAAATAGGTTGCCATCTGGTTCTAAATTGGAAGTTGTCTTGAGGTTTTCAAGCATCATCCTTATGACTGGTATTGGATGATCTCTATACCATTATTCCATGCCATGTCAGAATGAATTATCAAGGGAAAACGTGCAAGATTAAATTGACAGTCATGGGCTTTCGTTAAGGAATTATGTGGCGTTATTTTTTACCTCTATAATCGCTTGTTCATGAAACTGATGTTGTTCCCAGGGTGCCTCCACACTCTTTGGTCCACACACTCTCAGTGCCTATATCCAGGAGTTCAAGAAGCTTGCAACTGCTCTCGCCTTTGGCCAATCTGTTGAGCCTGGTCCACAACCCCCAGATCTTCTGGATAAACAAATAAGCTTACTTACACCAGTTGTAATGGACGCAACCCCTCCTGGTGTACATTTCGGTGATTGCAGCTCTGATGTCCCCCAGAACTCCACATTCAAAAGAGGTGATGCGGTCACAGTTGTTTTCTGGTCAGCTTGCCCCAGGAATGACCTAATGACAGAAGGCACATTTTCCCTTGTGGAGATCCTCCAAGGAAAGGATAGTTGGTTCCCAGCTTATGATGATGATGATTTCTGCCTTCGTTTCAAGTGGTCGAGACCTTCAAAATTAAGTACTCGTAGTCAAGCAACTATAGAATGGAGGATCCCGCAGTCTGCCAGCCCCGGTGTCTATAGAATAAGACATTTTGGAGCTGCAAAGGGCCTTCTAGGTTCTATCAGCCATTTCACCGGTTCATCTAGTGCTTTCGTCGTAACATGATAAAACATGCTGTTCTTGTACATGTACACGCTACTCCTGTCCTTGTAGTATTCCTTTTCTTACACAAAAATATATCTGCACGACAGATGGCTGGCATGGGGCAACACTTGCTAATAAACTCTTGAATCCCTGTAGCTATCTTTAACATGTTTAATTAATCCAGCTAGTTTTTGTAATGCCTGCAGGAAACCATGGTTGACCATTAATCCTGTGTAAAAAGATGATCGTTCATCAGCGAAAAGCGTACGAGAAATTGAAAGATCTTTGAGAGTAACCGACACGCCGTTTCTAAATTGCCATCAAACGATAACCCCTTGAGAATCTCGGGGAAAACCCCATTTCTAAATTAACATGTTTAATTATTTTCTTTTCAATTTCTAGAGCCTAGAAGCCCCTCCATTTAAAAAAAAAATTGGAATGTTGTGTGGTGAGTGATTTCGATTAATGACCACTCAGTCCTAGTTATGAAGCTGTTGAACTACGAGATGGGGATAAAGGAAGGTATCTTAGAAACAGTGTGAGTAGAGCTGCTGAGAACATCAATGAGAACATTTCTGAAGCGTTGATTGGTATGGACCCCGCACTTCAGTCTCAAATTGATCAGGCCATGATAGACTTGGACAAAACAGAAAACAAGGTTATGCTTTCTTTTCTTCCCTGTCTTTAATCAGTGTAATCACATGTTTGCTTTGCTTCAGTTCTTTCCACCAACATAGAACTTTAATGACCAATTGTTAACCTTTGACACATTTTCACACAGGATGATAGTTCTGAATCTAGTTGACTCTGGATGGAATCTACTGTGTCGCATGCAAATATGTCTGGTTTCTTGCAAATGGAAGAGAAATGTTGTGGCTTTTGTCCATTTATCCCAATAGACAACCATGCAAGAAAGTTATTTGTGTATTAATAATATGTGGACTTAAACCCCATGCTTTTCACATCCAACCGGCGTGGAGAAAGGTTCTCCCAGTACTTTTGAAGTTAGATGGTTTCGAAATATGAACTTCCGAATCCTCATTACTGTAGGCTTGTTTTATATTTCCTCAAACTTGATTAAACATCCATACGTTGTGCCCCTTTTGACATCTTTGTGGGGTCATCAGATGGCCTTTGTACTGAGCATAAATTGTCAGTTCAAGATTCAACCTTAGGTTTCATGCGAGAAGATCTGCAATCTGGAAATGATTGTTGTTCAAGTGTTTAAGATGCTGGCATCTTGTAAGGCATCCTTTTTCCTACTCTGAGTCATCCGCAGGGTGAACTTGAAGCAAATGCTATGTGAGCAGTTGCAATTGCTGCATGCAAAGCTGGAGCCGCAGAAAAAGAGGCATGGATGATGCCTTTTATTTTAGATAATTAATTAATTAATATAGCACTTGGATCGGCACTTTGTGCACTTCTTTGAAAATCTTGCCGTTGAAATACCAGCTTCCGCTTTACAAACACATTTATGATCTTCATGGAAAAACCAACCTGACTCTTCCTGTCCCTGCTTTCACTATCATAAGTGGTGGAAAACATGCTGGGAACAATCTAGCCGTTCAGTTATGGTCTTTTTAAGTTTAATATTTAATCCATTATTCCTTGCATATAAGGCTTGCTGCATCTTGAAATCCTAATTTCCATGGTTACACTGCATCACAAGGACTTTTTTGTGAGACGAGGAGTAAATATGAGGAATCAGTATTTTTGATGTGCTGTTTTGAAAAATCATCACCTGATAATTGATTGGAAGTGCATTGCAGTTTTTGAGCATGTTACTTCTTTATTATTTAGCAGATTTTAAATGAAAAATCTTTCATTCTAAAAAAAAAAACGTGATTTTTTTTTAAAATACTGAGTGCCTTCATGCAATATGAATTGATCAGGCAGAGACATCAGGAAAAAAAAAAAAAAAAACAGGGATGTAGTCACTCTGTGCTTTGCTTATCTTCATCCTGTTACTGGGAACAACTTTGGAGGATGTAAACGATCAGGGTAAGAATAGGTAGTGCATCTAGTTGCGGAATTAGCAGGTTAAGTAAAGTACTTAACTTGGACTTTGTCAGGTGTGCTTGTGACGTTTTGCTGTAATCCTTGAATTTTTGGGTTTATCTCTTGCTTTTATATATATGAGAAGCCATAAAAGGGTTTGTTTTCAGGCTGTGGATGATGACTTGTTGATGTCAAATCTAAAACGTATTGGGAGAACATTACATGAGTCCAGTTGCAATGCACTTCTTCTCAAGGTATGCAGTTAGCACTAGATGAAATTTTTATGATTGAACTTTGAAGGATCTTATTCTTCTCCTTCTCCATCTTCTTCGGGATGAATGGGAAGAAAGGAGTAATTCCTGATCATTAATGAAAGCTTTATTCACTAATGGGGTAATCAGTTTTCCTAATGTCAATGCCTTTTGTTTTCTCTCCTTTATAGTGAATCCCGCTATTATTTTCTTATTATTCTTAAGTTTCTGATCCGCAATACCCTTTTATTTATTGTTCTTCTTTTGATCCGCCATGCCCTTTTATTTTTCCTAGACGGACATCACAGGTTATTTTTTCTGTTAATGATATCCATGAGCTCCCCCTTCATTACAATCATTACGTGATAAAACTGGAGAAACTTTTTTATTAATCATTGAAGGCTTAACAAACTGAATGGATAGCAAGGTAGATATGAACCTAATAAACCTAACTTTCTTGCTGTTGCTTCAGATTGAGGAAGAACTGGGCGACCAAGTAGTTTATGCAGGTGAAGATTGGAGGCCAACCTGATCAGTCCTGCAAAGTTTTCCATCTCCCCGCCATCCATAATCTACTTCTCATTGTTGGTGGCTTGAAAAGTGAAACTCCCTTCGTATTGAGCAACTAGCATTCTAGAGCAATGTTGCAAGTCTTTCTTCTGGCTTTGTGTGAGCGTGTCCCCACCCCATTTTCTGGAGAGCATGGAGATTATTTGAGAAACATACTTGGAACAGCAAAAGTTTTTAACAGATTTTGGTTTCAGGTAATTGCAAACACAAAATTCGTTTCCGATCCATAGTGCAAATGGCCTTCTTATCCTTTTTAATTCCTTAAACTCCAGTTTGTGCTTCACGGATGATACAAGATCCTTCTATCGACTTGTTCCAGTTCATTTACTCCCAGTGGCTTGTATGCATATCCATTACCTGCTGTTAAATCAAAGATTTTGATCCAGTGCCAGTAGAAGCTGATAAAATCTCAAGGTTGGCACTCGAAAGTGGAAAAAAGAAAGATGATGTGTTAACTGCTTTATGTTGTTTAGAGTACGATATGGCCTGTATCATTTGAAAGAAATTATTGCGTCATTGTTCGATAGAAACATCCACCATTGCATTTAACTTTTGAACTGCAACGACACTGAACCTTTATTTTTGTTTTTGTTTTTTTTTTCAATTGTCAATTCGTTGCAATAAATAAACTTGCTTGCCTGCTCTAAGAATATTTTCCGAAACACTGTTGCTCGTGTTTTTTAAAAAAATTAAAATCTTTTAAAATTAATTTTTTTATATATTTAGATTATTTTGATATATTAATGTTAAAAAAATATTAAAAAATAATAATTATTAAAAGTAGAAAGAACAATGGCACCTCAAGAACCTTAAACCTCAAGCTCTATTGCTTAAAAAAAATAAAAGTTCTGACTTTTTGTGCTGCAGATCTTAGAAAAACAGACTTTTCTTTTGAACTGTAGAATATGTTTATTTGTTTAGGATGAAAATGAATTTTATTTTTTTAAAAATACATCACAATTATAACTATTTTCATAAAAAAATAAAACGATAATTCATAGTAATCATTTTAATATTTTATATTATTAATAATCTAATTATGGAATATTGATTTTATTTCATTAGAACTAAAATAATTACCATGAAAAATAGTTATATTGCTAACTAAAAAAGAAAATTTTTATATTAAATTTATAATGAAAATCAAATGTAGGACACTGACTAAATATAAACATATAAAAATAATAATTAATAGTTTATATTACTAAAAAATGATCTCTTCATGTTTTTTTAATTGAAAAACAGTGAGAATTTTATAAAGAACAACTGTGAAAAAAATTGAAAATGTATTTTTCAGACTTAGTATAAATTTAAAAAACTAGATGGAGATATATTGTATTTTAAAGAAAGTTTTAAAGTGTGTGCATATATATATATATATATAAGGCAATTTCAGGATAACCGTGGATATGACTGTTCAACTAGCAGCCTCGACCTGAGCAGATACTGAAAACGAAAAACTCTCTCAAGTCTCAACTCTGAGGTCTCAGCCCTGGCCCTAAGGGATGAGGCCTAAATGGATAAAAATGCACAAAACGACAATATAACTACCCGTTACCAAAACCAAAATATACAAGTAAATAAACACATTTCTCACCTTTTCAGCCACAAAACAATACCCAAACTAACAGAAACAGAAACCTTTCTCCCAGTTTTTGCCTCCTTAAGATCTTCCAGGCCTCCCTTTACAATCAATCTTCAACCCCTGAAATTAAGCAGAGTCATGAAAACCTGGTAATAAATCTTCTCTCTTGATTTACGAAGCCATTCCCTCTTTCTCTTCAACCAAACGGACCCTTTGTTTCTCTGTCACATCACCACTCCTCTAGCTAGATCTGCATTTTTCTTCTTCTCTGTTTTCTCTAAGTTTAGCTTGTTCGAACCCTTAAAAAACCCATGTGAAACAAAAACCGAGAACCCCAACTCGTTTTTTGAGAGTTTTTTTCTTACCCTTCATCAGATTCAAGAAAATACCCCCCCCAAAAAAAAAAAATGAGCCGTTTATTCAACGTTTGCCTAATTGCATCATGGTACTCCTCTAATATAGGGGTTTTGCTGTTGAACAAATATTTGCTTAGCAACTATGGATTCAAGTATCCGATATTTCTCACTTTGTGTCACATGATGGCTTGTTCATTGCTAAGTTACATTGCAATTTCATGGCTCAAGATTGTGCCTTTGCAGACCATAAGATCAAGATGGCAGTTTCTGAAGATCTCTGCTCTTGGGGTCATATTTTGCTCATCTGTTGTGACTGGCAATGTATCTCTTAGATATCTTCCAGTGTCGTTTAATCAGGCTGTTGGGGCTACCACCCCATTTTTCACTGCAGTTTTTGCATATTTGCTGACGTTTAGAAGGGAAGGTTGGCTAACTTATGTTACTCTCATTCCTGTCGTCGCTGGTTGTGTCATTGCTAGTGGGGTGAGAACTTATTTCTCTTCTTTCTTTATATTTTTGTTGTCTTGGTGCATGATGTCGCCGAATGGCGCCAAAGGATCCATTTATTAGTTTGGGATTGAGTCTTGGTTGTTTTTGTTGTAGTTTATTCTCGCCGAATGGCGCCAAAGGATCCATTTGTTAGTTTGGAGTCTTGGTTGTTTTTGTTGTAGTTTATTGCATTATTCTCTTTGGGTTTTTTTTTTGGGGGGGGTGTTACTGTCATTGAGATCATTATTGGGTTTTGGTGTTACTGTCATTGAGATCATTATTGGTTATTGAAAATTGTTAATTTGTTGGATTTTTACAATGGAGAGAACTAGCTGCTGGCATTTCATGCAGCAACAAGTTAACTACAATCTTTCACAGGGGATCTATGCCGGGTTTGAATTCAAAAGTTACTGTTTATGATACCTGTTGCTGTTTGAGGTGTTGTTCTTTAGCCATAATGCTACTGAAACCAGTTCTTAAGGAAACCTCTTTAATTGGTTTAGATAATTCTTTGAAAATTCTCTGTTTCCTTTACTGATGGAAAACCCATTAACATATTCGATCTTCTTTTTTTTTTCTCATTACTTGACTGAAGGGGGAGCCGAGTTTTCATCTTTTTGGGTTTTTAATGTGTATGGGTGCTACAGCAGCACGGGCGCTCAAGTCTGTGGTTCAAGGGATTTTGCTGTCTTCTGAAGGGTAATGAATTTCTCTTCATTTTGCATCTCAAGATTTGAAACTGTTCTATTTATTCTTGTTCTAATATCAGTGATTGAATGGGCATGATCTGATAATTTCACTGTTTTACCAGGGAAAAACTTCATTCTATGAACCTCTTAATGTACATGGCTCCAGTAGCAGTTTTAGTCCTTGTTCCCGCAGCTTTTTTTATGGAGAGAGATGTCGTTGGAATCACAATTTCCCTCGCAAGGGATGATACGAAATTCATGTTCTATCTGCTCTTCAATTCTTCTCTCGCATATTTTGTGAATTTGACCAACTTCTTGGTCACTAAGCATACTAGTGCTTTGACGCTTCAGGTATCTTCTCCAATCATATGCGCTGGAATTACTTAAGCTTCATTGTCAGAAGCAGCATATCGATCATACAAATGTAAAGCGACCAGACATTCATAACCAAATTTATTTATCTTTTTCCTGCTAATTATTTTGTTCGTCTGCACTGCATATATACATAAGCCAGCATTGCATATCATATCACAGGGGTTGCCTACATACATGATGATTAGTTTTGTGGCATTCCAAGGTTTTCGGACTCTGCTACCTAGACAGTTATGTTAAAGATTAAATTAGTTATGTTTCAGTCACCATTGGCGAGATAGTAAATTTTTGAAGATTGGTTTTTTAATATATAGAGTGTTTGTTCTTATAATATTGACATGATTTTGGTTAAAGTGGATGATAATTTTATTTTCAAACTGAAAAAAAAAAATCAAATTAAACTTGATAGCATTATAGAAATTTTCTGGATTCATTTATCAATTAAATCCATCTCGAAAAGGTTTTAATAATCATATTTGAATTCAAAATGAAAAAATAAATCCATTTTAAGAATTAAAATATTAGTATTTGAATATTTCACTCTGATACAATTGTGTGATGCTCTGTTTTTTAAGAACATTTTACGAAAAGCTTTGTTGCTTAATTTCTCATCGACAATTCCATGATGGAAGTGAATATTACTAATGACATTAGCAATGGCCATTATGCTGCAAAAAGATTTTATTTTAATTATTCAGGGCAATCTCTACATTCAGATTAAGAAATGTGTGCTGCTTCTAGGTCCTGGGAAATGCAAAGGGGGCTTTTGCAGTGGTTATTTCAATTCTGATCTTCCAGAATCCTGTATCAGTGACTGGGATATTTGGATACAGCATCACTGTTACTGGTGTTTTCCTTTATAGTGAAGCCAAGAAAAGGAGCTGGAGCAATTGAGACATCGACGACGAGCGGTGCCTCCAAAGATTGATTCTCTTATATTTTATGTTATATTATTTATCATTTCTTCCTACCAAGAAAGGATAGCTATTGATATTTGTGCTTTATAGTATAGCTCACCAACCATAACCACTGGCTTGCCAGGCCTTTGCTGGGCTTCCAACCTCATGCCATGGCATCAAGGCATCTTAAAAATAGAAGAAACGTAACAGTCTTTCTAGGCCACAGATACGAGCAAACCACTGATAATCCCACGTTGGAAAATGTAAACGAATGCTTATCACACAACCATCTAAAAATCTCACTAATCAGCGCTAAAAGAAACTTTTAAAGACATCTAATGCCAGCGAAGGGACTGGCGCCATGCACGAAAGCCGTTGATGAAAATGATAAAACATCCTGGAAACGATTTCCAAACCTACGAAGTGATTTCAATGAACAAGGAAATAAATAACATTAAACTTGAGGTTTAGTCTCATTCTCATCCTCGTCCTCTTCTATCTTTGGAGCCAAGTAGTATCTGACGTAACCCATTTCAGCGATTTTGTACTCAACCACAACAGGTAGCTCTGAAGACAAGCTGATTTTAACTGTGTTTGACAATGGGGTTGCCTTCGTGAAGGAGTTCATGTACCTCAGTGCAAATGTCAATGACACGGGCTCGTTCATCTCAATGACAGTGGCATCTTCCGGCTGTAAAAATCACAACCCACATATAAGCAATCCTGTGAAATGGTATTGTTGCGAAGCATACAAAACAAAACTGGATGATATTTGCACTGATAACATACCTTATCAACTGTGGTGTTTTGCCTGAGGACAATATTTGCAGTTCCAATATCACCTCTTGTGGAAAACTTAACACCCTCCTTTGTCACGGAGATCACAACTACATTCACATATCAAAATCATTACATTTTCATAGTGCACACAATAAAGCAAAGCAGCCCATGGACGTGACGAGAGGACTTTTTGACAGTACCTGTATCACCAATGCTAGAAAGATCTTTACAAATCCTTGAAAACTCGGCTGAAGGCATCGTAACAATAGCATGGTATTCTGCCTCCGGAATTCCTAGGTGCTCACTATCGATGTCCATCAGTTTCATCTCAAAATCAGCAATTTTGTCTTGTGCTATTGTTCATTGCAAAAGGAGAATACAAAAACAAGAGGATCAGTAAAAATTAACAGCAATTAATTATAATGGTTTATACCATGTCCAAGCACAAAAAGATTAGTCACTCTCATTTGGTTTGAGAATTTTATTTTATTTTTTTCAAGAGGAATTTTTTCATTTTGAAATGAAGCTGTAAAAGCTTATGCAGTTATAGCCCAAGCACCCAATTGTATCTCGTAGAAAATCAATTGCTCAAAACACAATTACATTCTTCAAGAATTTCAGAAATCTAAGCCAAAATTAATTTAATTTTATATTTGAGATGCAGTTTTCTTTTATTTCCAAGGCGAAGCTACCAAGCAAAAGCACAACCATACATCAATCGATTAAGAACTCAATTTAAACATCAAATTACTGGAGATTCAAAATTAATTTTCCATTCGCACACCATCATTTTTCCAGCAACCAAAACAGATCTTAACGCTTGCATATAATATCAAAAACCTTAGCCCATCCGAAGTAAGCCTAACAGGGCAATTAAGCCCTAATTACCACAAAAAGAAAAGGAAAACAAGTCCGATCCGGGAAAAAGAAGATAACTTACTGGGACTTTCAAACATGAAAGTTACTGTATCGCTACCATCATCGCCTTTAATGGTGATGATGTCATCATTTCCAGCACACTTCAACATCTTAGACATGTTACCAAGATTCATGCCCATTGACGTGTTACGGTCACAGCGGTAGTGCTCGAAACCCTCCGATCTGAGGAGTAGAGCCACCAGGGCAACGTGGCTGGAATCCATGGCCTGGAGAGAGAACCCAGAGGACGAGCAGTCAAAGTTTGCATCGTTGACCAGGTCCTTGATCGCCTCTAAAACTTTCTTCAGAAGAGACCCTTGTACCAGCCTTAGCTCCAACATTTTTTTCTTTCTTTTCCTTTTTTAGGGTTAGGATTTCTTCTGTGGCAGTGAAGGGGAGGGGGGCGAGGGATAGTGTTAGAGTGCGGTTGGGTATTTAAATTGGTAAGATTGTGATTGGCGGGGTTTTTGGACTTGGGGCGGTCTGATTCCCGCCAGGGAATTTGGCAAATAAAAGCGGGGAAGATTTTTTGATGCTGGGAAATATATGAAGGTGAGGAAGCCCAAGCCCAATTTCAGGCCCAGTATAATTTTCAAGGACACCTTTTAAGCCCATGAAAGAGCTCGGTCGGAATAGAGTATCTTTTTACTTTACATATACTTTAAAAGTATTATGGGTCTGGCGCGAGATGGAGACTAGGGAATTGAATAAATTATTATTTATTTTTTGAGGGTTGGTCAGGTGGTAGGAGTGCATGCTTTATTTATTCATTTATTGAACTGAAGCAAACTTTCAAAAAAAATTATTTTTTTTCTAGAATCACTATTGAATGATGTTCTAGGAAATTAAAATAGTTTGATTCTTTTGTAATTAATTAGTTAATTTCTTGGTTTTAAAATTTTATTATATTCTTTTTAATTATTCTTTAATTATGAAGGTCGGTTGGTAATTGTATATATAAAAAAAGATTTATTTTATTGGATTTGAAGACTATAATTATTAAGTTATTGATATTGTTAGAGAGAATACTATAATATAAGAATATAGTATGAAAATAAATATATAATAAAAAATTGAGATTCCAAATCTTTTATCCAAATAATTCATAATATATTTATAACTTGTAAAGTTTTAATAAAAATAATAGGTTAAGATGTGATATTATCTTAATAATATTAAAAAAAAATCATGACATATGTATTGATGTTGATAGAAAATATCAATGACATACATATTAATAAAATAACATATATATACACACACATACAAGAAAAAATATCATGTTGCATGTGTATTAATATGAGTAAAAATATTATTAATTTTTTTTAAAATTACAAAATGATAATGTTCTAAAAAATTAAAGCAGTTTCAAAATACAGGTTATGTATTGAATAATTAGTTAATATTTTAATTTTTAAAATATATTTTATTTTTTATAATTAAAATAATCGATAGCTGGTATTCGATACTTATAAAAAATTTCACACCAATGAGTTTGAAAACTCTAATAATTAGATTAACAAATTTGTTATAAAAAATACAACAATATTATAGGGTTATACTATGAAAATAAATATGTGGTAAAAAATTAAAATTGCAAACTTTTTGTTCAAATAAATTATAATTTATTTACGATCTACAAGTTTACGGAGATAATAAGTTAAAATATAATATTATTCTGGTAATATTAAATAAAAAAAATATCTCGAATGTATATATTAATGAAAAAAAATCATAATATATATATATATACACACACCATGAAAACATGATGGACTCGCTATCTTCTTCACAATCTACAAGTTTATGGAGATAATAGGTTAAAATATAATATTATTCTAGTAATATTAAATAAAAAAAATATCTCAAATATATATATCAATGAAAAAAAATCATAATACATATATATATATACACACACGATGAAAACATGATGGACTCGCTATCTTCTACACGGTATTAACATTAATGAAAAATATAATGGGTCATTTTAAAAACTTTTATGTAGCTAATACGTGCATGTGCTTAAAACATATGAATCATTTCCTTCATTAGACCAAAGGGAGGTTGGATCCTTCCATTAATTGAGTCTAAATAAGGTTTTTTAAGGGATTTATCATGCCTTTAAATCTGGGCTCATCACTAAATCACGGGAGAAATATCCATTAAAATTATATAAAAAAATAAAACTTAATTTTAGTCGAGGTGAATACTAATTTGAAAATATAATTTATTATTAAATGAAAAATACAATTTAAGAAATGGCTTAAAACATGGGAAAAAATTGATCGGCCGAAGTCTAGTGAATTTATTAAAACTAAAGAACTGAAATTGGAAAATTTACGGGTTAATACCTGTAACTGCAATTCGACTGTGTTTTTAAATAATTTCAATGTTTTTATATTTTTTGATATTATAATGATATTAAAAATAATTTTAAAAAATAAAAAAATATTATTTTAATATATTTTTAAACAAATAATATTTTAAAAAAAATAATATTTATTATATTTTTAAAAATGCATTTAAACTATAGACAACGGAACAATGATAAATTTATTTTTTAAAATCAACCTCTAATCTCACCTTTCTTTTTATTTTTCTACAATGAAGATGCTTCCTGTAAGTTTATAAAAAATAAAAAACAATTGTTTCCTCGTAATAATAATAATATTAAAAGACGCAAGCCTACCGGCACGATGGAAAAATACATGAGCAGCTACGGCAATTTATTGACATGCTAATAAAATAAAAATAAAAATAAAAATAAAAATAAAAATAAAAATAAAAATAAAAATAAAAATAAAAATAAAAATAAAAATAAAAATAAAAATAAAAATAAAAATAAAAATAAAAATAAAAATAAAATAAATAGGGGATCTGAATACCAAAACGTACCCACCCGCACCAGCACAGACAGAAGCCATGAAATCGATGATTATTATTATTAATAATAATAACACTTCACGTGACAACCACTCGTTACTCAACAAAGAAAAAAAGAAACCCAATTTTTTCCTTTCCTTTTTCTCCCTTGCTCAACCCCCACAACTATAATCAGCATTCTTTCCATTTGCCATCATTAATCCTCCATGGCTGATCTCAAGCCCAGTTCTGATATTTCCTTCGTTGAAATCTTCCTGTGCAGTGCTTTCGCTGCTTGTTTTGCTGAGGTATTCCCTTCTTCCCACTGTATATTTCCTTTAATTTTGTTTTTGTTTTAAGACTCTGCTGCCTCTTGTTTTGTTTGCGCTGACTTGAGAAATGTATGTCAAGTTTGAGCTGATTGGAAATTATAAATGTGACCCAATTTCAAGGTAATCTGTTTCGGATTTTAATTGGTAGAGTTGTATCTATTTATCTATCCACGGCATTGTTGATTTGGGTTTTGCAGTTCTGCACCATCCCTTTGGACACTGCTAAAGTTAGGCTCCAGCTACAAAGGAAAACATTTGCCTCGGAAGGAGTAAGTTTGCCTAAATATAGGGGTTTGTTGGGTACTGTGGCTACTATTTCCAGAGAAGAGGGTTTAGCAGCACTATGGAAAGGCATTACTGCAGGATTACATCGCCAGTTTATTTACGGTGGCTTAAGGATAGGATTATATGAACCGGTATGTCTTGGATGCTCTCCTTCCATACATGGGATTTAACTGTTAGCAGAGTATTAATGTTGGAGATGTTGAATGCTGGTTGAACAGGTTAAATCTTTTTTGGTTGGCAGTGATTTTGTTGGGGACATTCCTTTGTACCAGAAAATACTTGCAGCTTTGTTAACTGGTTGGTGCATTTGGTTACTGTCTTAATGCTCTAAATTATGTTGTATATGTCTTTAGTGTTATCCATGGTTTTTTTTTTCCTCTCCTGTCAAAATCTCATTGGAAAAACTTTCAAATTGAATAGGTGCTGTGGCAATTGTAATTGCTAATCCAACTGATCTTGTTAAAGTTCGGCTTCAAGCTGAAGGGAAACTGCCAGCTGGGGTGCCTGGGCGATATGCTGGAGCTTTGGATGCTTATTTTACCATAGTGAGACAGGCATGTTGCTCACTGTTCTTTTGTTTTTATACTGTTATGGTCTTAATTTTCTCTTTGTTTTCTATATATTTAGGAAGGACTGGGGGCCTTGTGGACTGGACTTGGGCCAAATATAGCAAGGAATGCTATTATAAACGCTGCTGAACTCGCCAGTTATGATCAAGTGAAACAGGTAGAATCATGGTCTTTAGACTCTTAAGGTGCACTTATTTTATATTTTCACTTTTATTTTTTTGATAAATAGAATTTCTCAGTAATGTTCTAAATCTCTATATACAAATGCAGACAATATTGCAAATTCCAGGGTTCACAGACAGCGCCTTTACTCATGTTCTAGCTGGTCTCGGTGCAGGTTTTTTTGCAGTGTGTATTGGTTCACCCATTGATGTAGTAAGTGTCCTCTATCCACTCCACTCCCTTGCAATTCTGCCAAGCAAGTGAACATTGGGCATCTATCAATTTGGCATTGTCTTCTCTGCACATAGCCATAACTTCCAGTTTTATCTAGAAGATCCTTTTTTCGTTAGATGCACACAGTATAACAAGTGCGTTGGATATGCATTGTTGGCAAAGTCATGGAGAACATGAAAATAAAAGGCACCGAAGAAGAACAAGTTCCTATAATTATCTCTACTTCCATCACTAGTACCATCAGGCATGCACTGCTTTTCTAGAATCTCAATGAACCTTTATAATTCAGATTACAAATTATTTCTAAAGCTAATTCCAGAACTGCATGAAGTTGCTGCACAAGTTGTTGAAAGAACAGAACATGGTAGAAACACTGAAATTTGTGTAGAAATTTAATTAAGTGATGAGACAAGCAATATCTGACATCTTAATTCAGTTTGTTTTAAAGATTACCTACCCGATAATCAAAGTAATTTCTGGTGCTTTCTTCAAATTTCCATCTGTCTGATAACCATAACAAAAGAATTGAAATCACTGAGCATAACAGCTTTCTAAATGATAATGACACCGGTGATGATATTATAAATCATGTTGATAGATCCATGCATAATAAATTCTCAATATTTACCATAAACGTTCAAGCATAATCCATGAATTACACTGTGGGCATTGACAAGGTTACTGCTAGAAAGTAATTGTATCGTGTTTACATTTTCTGCAATTCTGTATGCTTTTTTTGATGAATGATGCTGGAGCTAGCCAATGAACACTGTATTGTATGATCCACTTGATGTTTTCAGGTAAAATCTAGAATGATGGGAGATTCGTCCTACAAAAATACAGTTGACTGTTTTATCAGGACACTGAAGAATGAGGTCTGTCAATTTCCCTTCGTGTTTCCATTGAGGTTTCATCCCAGATGATGTGACATGCCATGATTTGCCCTCAACTATTTTATAGCAGTGGAAATTGAAGCTTGATATGGCAACATTCTAACTTTCTGCGTGTTCATACTACTTCAAAAGGGAAAAACAAGTGCTTTTCAACTTTGCATACATCTGACTCTGAAAGCTTGTTCAAAATCCTGTCAATGATTGTAATTGTTTTGCTGCATCTAAGCTTGAACGTGAATACAGTGCTAATTAAGAATCTTGTGGAAACTCTAACCTTGACTCAGTTTGTATTAACTTGTGGGAGCAAATTCACTGCAGGGAATTTTTGCGTTTTACAAAGGTTTTCTCCCAAATTTTGGGCGGCTGGGATCTTGGAATGTTGTAATGTTTTTGACCCTTGAGCAAGTAAGATTTGTGAATCATGTCTTGTTTTTGTATTTTCTAATTTATAATGTAAATTCCAGGCAGTGGCTTCATTCCCACTTCTGTTAATTGGTATGAAAATTAAAGTTGCTTTGCAGATTCCAGTAACTCAATGATCTAACAATTTGACAATTCAAGTGACTGCACCAATTGATGTTCTTGGCTTAAATTCGCTTTGTAGGCATGGGCTTTGTTTCCCACTTGTTTGCTTTGACTTAACCTCCTTCTAGCTAGTCTGAAGTAAGCCGTCTTAGCTGAAATGCTCATCGTTATTTAATGTGTTATTACAGGTCAAGAAAATAGTCACAGGGCAAGCATACTATGACTAATGACGAGATTTGAAAGTGGAAAGAAACTAATCCTGCTTTGATAATGCTGCTTCGACAATTGGACATTCTTTTTCTGGATTAATAAGGTTCTTTCTGCTGGTATTCTTTGCTACTTGGTTGCATAGAGATAGAGTTGTCTGCATAATTATTTTGTAGACATTCACAAACTTCATTCCGAGGGAGTAGAATTGCCTTCTCCCTTTTCAATCTAAGCGTGAAGCTGTGTCATCACATGATAATGAAGTACCCATACAATCTGAAAGCCACACGATATCCTCAATTCTGTTTCGAATGTAAAGTGTGCCCATTCATGATTTATCCAACAATTATCTTAGTAAAACTGAGCACTTGGTTAGGTTTGTTAATGATGGAAGATTCCATTTTTTCCGTTTTATTTCATGATTCTCTCAACAGGAGTTTCTTGATGTACCGGTTGTATGTGTTGTTGTAACGTGCATAATTTCAATAGCAAGTGTTTACTGTTTGGCACCAATGAGCTGTTGCACGTGTAGATACTTTTCCACCCCTTCATATATTGCTGCCCATCTCTTATCTGAATAGGAGAATAATACAGTGTCAATTTTCATTTCAAAGATTATCAGATTAATTTCACCCTCTGCTTAATAAGTAGAGAATCTTGCCCATCTTTACCACCGGCATGACTTGAATTGCTTTTACTTTATCGGTACTTTAATACCTTGACTTCTTGCTCCAAAGTTGAAGGCACACTTTGTAAATTGACTAAATGCGCACTCTTTGTAAATTGACCAAATGCTTTGTGTAAATTTCTGACGAGTCCCATATGATATTACTCCCGAGCACATTATTTTGGAAAATATTAAAATAGAGAAAACTAAGATCAGTTGGATTAATATTTATAGTCCGAAGCTGGGACCTCCACAAGATTCCAAAATGAACATTTTCACAATACATACAACATCACTGAACTGTTACTCCTAATGACATTAAAAACTAGTAATCTCTTAGAATCTCTCGCAATTCTTCTTTGAATGCTGAGGAGCTGCAAGCTACCTGGGCATTAAGTAGCGTCGTAGACTTGCATATATCAGGCTACTGAAACCCGGGCTCTGGGCACTAGGTAAACACTAGCCTTGATAGCCGATCCGTTTCCAAGCTTGAATCCGGGACTGACAGGGAATCCCACGATCGGAATCCGCCCACCAGAAAATCTCACAACACTTTCCATATATTGGGGATGAAACTCAGCGCCCCTACTAACCTTAAATTGACTCGGTGGAGGGTCGCGTGACAAGGCCAGCAAGTGAAGCAACCAAATGGCCTGGGCCAGCCCAAGAACTTCCCATAAAATTGACTCCTTGGGTGGCTTCCAGCAATGACTTGCTGGTGCTGCAGCAAGTTTCCAAATAAGGACTCCTCCATTTTCGGATGAACAATTGCCAGGTATTTTTTAGAGCAGAATTTGCCAAAATGACAAGTTGGCAAGATTCCAAGAAGTTCAATGGTGTCCATGGCCTTCATTTCACGGTACTGAGTAAAACAATCACAACAGAACTGTAAAGTAATCACGACAGAACTAGTTCAAGTTGAGAAATGAAGAGACGCTTCCATCCATGTAGAAGGTTTCATGGTCAAAACCTTGGAAGAGCTTGTGAGAAATGTAAGACTCCATATGAGAAATGTAAGATGAGTATCAGCTAGATTGAATAATATTATTGATCTCTTCATGTACTTATATAAGCAGCCAGACTTTCCTATTTATTAGATCAATTACTACATTATAGGTTATCTCCTGATAAGTTAGGCATTACAATATAAAAGTAAATATGTACATATTATCTATTTCTAATATAGAGATTGTGAAATCCCTAACAACCCCCTCAAGTTAGAGAGTTAATATCTTGCATTTCTAACTTGTGAGTCACAAGAAAAAACATTTCTTTCCCTAGAGACTTGGCTTGGTTAGGATCTCGGCTAATTAATGTTCAGAATTTACATAGCTTGTAGTCATGAAACCATCTTGGACCTTGTCTTTAATGTAATGGCAATCCATCTTAATATGTTTAGTTCATTCATGCAAAAAATGAAAAAAATAGGTTAGCTGCAATGTGTAAGGTAGTCTTATTATCACAATATAATAGAGTCAGTTCATGATATGAAAGTCCTGAATCTCTCAATAGATATTGAAGCCATGTCAATTCTCCTATCATTGCACGATACTTAGCCTTTGTCAAAGACAATAAAATTGTTTTCTGTCATTTTGATTCTAAGATATCAATGATGGTCTAAAAAAGACACAATAACCCATGGTAAATCTCTTAATGAGGGGTAACCTATCTAATCTGAATCACCGTAGGCTCTCAATTTGAAATCAGTGTTTAGATAGAAAAACAAGTCTTTACCAGGTAAACCTTTTAGATATCGGACAACCCAAAGAGTTGTTTCCATATAAAGTTTTCGAGGTAGATGTATAAATCTACTCAAGACATGTACATCATATGTTATATTTAGCCTTGAGACAATTAGATAGATTAATCTTCCAACTAATCTTCTAAAACGACGGGATCTTTGAGTAAGTCACTCTTTTTTGATAATTTTAAACCTTGTTCCATATAAGTATCAATAGGGATTGCACCCAACAGTCTCGCTTCCTCAATGATGTCTAATACATATTTACGTTGGGAAATAAAGATTGTATTTTTAGAGGCTGAAACCTCAATCCCAAGAAAGTATTTCACAATATCAAGATCTTTAAGGTGGAAAAGATTATGCAAAAAATCTTTAGTTGCAGTGATGCTAATGAGATCATTTCTAGTAACTAGAATGTCATTAATGTATATTAAAAGGGTTGTGAAGGACTTGTCTTGCTATTTAGTGAACAAGGAATGGTCAGCTTGAGATTGCATATAGTTAGCGAAGCGAATGGCTTCTAAGAACTTGACAAACAACTGACGAGATGCTTATTTCAACTTGTATAAGGACTCATAGAGGCGACACACTAGTTCTTCCTCCCCCTCTCGTAGAAGCCTCGATGGCGAAGACATATAAATTTTTTCAGATAAATCACTATGAAGAAAAGCATTGTTGATGTCCAATTGATAAAGGGACCAGTCCCAAGCTGCAGCCAAGGAAAGCAAGCAGTGAACATAGATAATTGGACAGCTGGAGAAAAAGTGTCTTGATAGTCAACATCTTTAAGTTAAGTAAGCCCTTGGTGACCGCCCCAAGCTGCAGCCAAGGAAAGCAAGCAATGAACATAGATAATTGGACAGTTGGAGAAAAAGTGTCTTGATAGTCAACGTCTTTAAGTTAAGTAAGCCCTTGGTGACCAATTAGATTTTGTACCTTTCAATAGAATCATTAGAGTGGTGTTTAATCTTGTACACCCAACAGCAACAAATTAATGTTTTTCTTGCTGGAAGTTGAGTGAGAGACCATTATGTTGAAGGACTTTGAATTTTAAAGTATATTGACGTGCCTTTTTAGACAAGCAGTGGCTTCTAAATAAGAATTAAGTTTCATAACCTTATTGAGTTGAGCAACAAAGGAATGATGAGAAAAAATGGTGCATTTAACAAAAGATAGAACTGGTAGGATTGAGTAAAATTCTGGTCGACTTAAAAAGTGATTTTACAGTTTTATAATTTTCATTAAAAAAACTTGACATTAGTTATTTAATGCATTTATATTTTTCAAAAGATTTCTTATTTATTATTAAATTGATTTGAAATAAATAATTTTTTTATAATTTCAAATATATGATAAAAAAACTAAAATACTATTAGAAAAAAAATAAACCACTGTTAAAGGGTGATTTTGCATTTTTCAAATGTTCTTTTTCCTTGTTATTATCAATTCAATTGATAAGAAATTTAGTATTTTAATTGGTAAAAAAAATAAAACATCATGAAATAATCAAAATACCATTAAAAACTAAAATTTTAAAACTTGTGTAAAATTGCTTCTTTTGTTATCATTTTAAAAAATTTTCAATTTATTATTATCAGATTAGCTCGAAACCTTTTAATTTAAGGATTTATAATTTATTTGTTTTAATATAAGTAATTTGTAGTTCTTAAGATAAGTTCAAAAAAAATGACCATAGAATTAATCTATAATTCCTTCATTATTTTAACCATACACCCATCACTGACCACTCGATATCCAACACGTATCATCCGATTTCAATTATTGTTATGGTCTCAGTTTCACGCTACTAATATCCATCGATAGCGTGCCACGTCAATATTCAAGAATTTAGGCTGAGCCACGGACGCTAAAGAGAGATTAAACGGGATTGAACTGCGCTGACATGTCCACCAATCCAGAAACTTCTGTTTGTTTTGCTCTTATATATATAACGTAGAGCTTCTCGCTTTTTTCACGCTTCTTCGAGAGAGAGAGAGAGAAATCCGGTTTAGGTTCTGCATTTCTTTTCAAAGAAACAGGGTTATAACAATTATCAATTACTTAATTACTTTCAGTGTAAGTTGTTGATTTTTCTTCTCTCGTTTCTATCTGCTCCGTTTCGTTTTTGTTTTATAATCTTGTGAATTTTTTTTCAATTTTTCTGAGTTCGGATTAAGGATCTTGGATTGTGATTAGGTTTAGTTGTTTGGATTTTCGTGAATCGTGCTTTGATTGTGATAATTGAGTTTTGATTGTAATACTTGTGGATAAATTTCGATTGCACTCTAATAAATTATAAGAGCATCATAAAAAAATTAATTTATGTATTATTAGTTAATTGGACTATTGGATTTCTTTGAGTTCTGTTTAAAATATTTGATTTTTTCAGTAATTAGTTATTGGTATTGTATTTTCTACAATTGCTTATTTATTTTTGCGTCTATGTTGGTACAGATGTCGTACTCCAGAAGGTCGAGGTATTCGCTTTCGCCTTCCCCATATAGGCGAGACAGCAGGTCCATATCAAGGTCAAGGTCCGGAAGCAGGTCAAGGTAATGTCTTGCTTCGTATATGCATATTATGCTGCATGCTTTATGGCAATCTCTCTGTATACTGCTTTCTTTGGTCTTTTTTTCTGTCTAATTATTTTGATTTCGATTGTAGGAGCTCATCAAGGGACGTGGAGAATCCTGGTAACAATTTGTATGTGACAGGGTTGTCACCCCGTATAACCAAGAAGGAACTTGAGAAGCATTTTGCTGCGGAAGGAACGGTAGGGGTACCATGCTATTGTCTTTCCTACTAATTACGGAATGTTATAGTTTCTCTCCTTAATAGAAGCCTTCTAGTTTCTTTTACTGGTTTCTGAATTAATTGATCATGGCCTGTGTTTTTTCTAGGTGATTGATGTTCATCTTGTCGTAGATCCGTTGACAAGAGAGTCTCGAGGATTTGGGTTTGTTACTATGTCTGCTGTTGAGGAGGCTGATCGTTGTATCAAGTATTTGGATCGCTCTGTTCTTGGGGGTCGTGTCATTACAGTGGAGAAGGTAGAGTCTTCATTTGTTGTATTCTTGATAAGCGATCGTGGCCTTTTGCATTCTGGTTACTTTGCCTTTTCAATTTGTACACAGATTATGGTTGCTTTTTAGCTCTTATGAAATTGAAAGTGTTTTGCTTCTTTCCACTTGAAGCTTCTGTTGCAGCAGGTCAGCTGTGTGTAGCAGCTCTTCATCAAACTCCAATAAACAAACAATTCAAACACATCAACAAGTCTCAGACTGTTAGGGTTGTATGCCCTGAATTTCTCTCTTTTTAGCTGTTAAACCACGTGCAATTTTAATTTCTTACTTGTATTAGACTGGCAAATTTTTTCTATCCTCAACATCTCTTTTTGATACTATTGTACAAATAAAAATAAAGGTTTCTATACCTTAAAGTGTCAATTTTTTTGGCAAAAGATTTTGATATTCAATGAACTCATTTCTTCAATTTGTTGCAGGCTAAGCGGAGGAGAGGACGAACTCCTACTCCTGGGAGGTATTTGGGGCTGAGAACAATACGAGGTGGTGGTGGTGGTATGAGGACTTGCATATTGTAAATTAGTTTGGTGATAGCTTGTTCATCAGTCCATGTATGTTTTTTCTTCCTCATACTTGTTTTTTGTTTGCTGTAGTGCGTCGCTGGACGCCTAGTCCTTCACCTCGACGATCTCCTAGTTACTCTCCTTATCGGAGGAGCTGGAGTCGGTCTCCTCGTTATTCATCTGAACGTAGCAGGAGCAGGTCCTGCTCCCCTCACAACCACCGACGGAGGTCATATTCTCCTTACTATTATAGCCGTCGACGGTCCTACTCCCGATCTCGATCCCCATACTGTAGGTCCCCTGTCAGCAGGCATGACAGGTCCAACTCACCTTATTACTTGAGGCATCGCTCACCAGATGACAGATACTATAGGAGACACCGATATCGCTCTGTATCTCGCAGCCCTGCTATATGTAGGGCTCGGAGAAGCTCAAGGAGGAGCTATTCAAGAAGCGTTTCCCCCAGACCAAGTAGGAGTGCAAGGAGGAGCTATTCACGCAGTGTTTCCCCAAGACCAAGGAGGAGCTCAAGGAGGAGCTATTCACGCAGCATGTCGCCTGCACCAAGGAGGAGCTCAAGGAGAAGTTATTCTAGAAGTGTTTCACCAAGACCAAGGAAGTACTCAAGGAGTGGACATTCTCGAGACAGCTACTCTAGGAGCCGCAGTGCAAGTCCTACTTCCAGATCTGTTTCAAGATCTGTCACCCCAAGCTCGGGTTCTCCATCTCATTGAAAGTAAATTGAGGTCTGTGTAAATTGTTAGGAAAAAAGATGAAGCTGTTGTAGATAAAGAAAGAAGAAAGTGAGACTCCAGTAGGTATGTGGAATTTGTGGTTTGAGAGCTATGTTTGCAGGTGTTGTGATAATTTCATGTGTATGGGGGGGAGCCTGTCTTCTTTCCAGGGACAGCTTAAAACATTCAGCGTGTTAGTAACAAGAGAGAGACTCGTCTTTTACTTTCTTTCAAAGCATTGTTGACATGTTCCAGTGTTTTTCATTGAATGTGTGTAATTGTTGTTTCTGACGCGTTTAAATATTCAATGCTCGACGTCTGCTTTCGCACGTGTTTGGTAACTCTTGCCTGCTTCTCGGAGATTTTTATTTCAACAAGTAGAACTTGAGCAGCGTTTCCCTTTTGTTGTTATGTTCGGTGCTGAGCAGTTAGTTGTAAGGCTGCTAGCTAACATGATTGCTGCGCATGGCTCTCCTGGCAAGGTTCCGTAACTCTGATTATTGTAGCAAACCATTTCTGAACACTTATTGTCGCAACACTCTGAAATTCATTTTGTGGATTATCAACTACTTTAACAGACACTAGACCAGCTGTTAACGGACAGAACTCTTGGATAACCACCCGTTACTTTCCCCTTGCATGAGAAATATTGTTGTCTTACGGATAACTGATATTACCATTTCTTGTGGTGTACTTGATTATTAGTTTTATTCCCCCCCCTCACATCGCTCTTGAATACTTGTAGTAATGCTCCTTGATTACTGTGAGATCCAATCTACTTCACTAATGTTGGGAGTGCTCAAAATTCATTTAGAGTTGCCTCTAATGTCTTGCCATTTGAGTTGCAAGAAACAATTGGAACTGATTCGATAATGCTTCAATCTGTAGGCTGATCTGATCATTTCTCTAGCATTGTTCCACCCGCTTGCTGTGTTGACCAACCATTGATACTTGAACTTCATGGTGAAGGCCTTGCAGCCTTTCCTCAACTTTCTGCAATGTTCTTCAACAGCTCTTACCTTAATGTTTTTTAGCATCTTGAGTCAGGATTGAATTCAAGCCTAGAATCGACTTTGTTACCGATCGTTAATAAGCTAATGGCCTAACAGGGAAAGAAAGAAAGAAATAGAGAAGAGAACAGAGCAGCAAGAGAATGCATTGTTGTGTTATTACTTGCCTTTCACGAAATCATCTTCACATCATTCATAGAAGTTAAGCTTTACCAGCTAACTCTCCTGCCTTCTACCTAATTGTTAACTAACTACTAACAACTTTTAATCAGCATGAATCACGTGGAATTTGCTCTCCAACCCTTTAGCAGCTGCTGCAACCACTGCTTGAGAATGTCATTCTTCCTTCTTTATTAACACGTGCATTCCTTGCTTATATATAGCATGTATAAAATGTAGCAGAATGTAACACAATACGTCAAGGCATGAGAATATTACACTTGAGATTTTAACAAGTGATCAAAAAAGAAAAAGAAAATAGAAGACAAAAGGCCCACATGGGAATCAAACTGTATAATTTACCCGATAGTTTTAATTTAATTTCTTCAATGTCATTGTTATTTTAATTAATTCATGTAATATCTCTTTAATATTAATCCAATTTATAAAATTTATAAAACCTTAAACTTTTTTTATTTATTTATATAAATTGGAGGAAAGATACTTTACCTAATAATTCCAATTCAGTTTATTTAATATTTGTTTAATAAATGATTTTATAAAACCACATTGTTTTTTTTCCAATTTGAGGGAAAAGGATAGCATTTTCAGATACGCATTTAATGCAAATTCCTCAATATATTTATAACTTTTAATTTTGAAAGAGCCCATACCTTTTTCTATAATTTTAATTTAATTTCTTTAATATACAAATTTGGGATTCTTGTTTTTTAATATCTTGATTATTTTTAAAATTTCCACATGTAATTTCTTACGTCCAATGCACGCATATTTGGCACGTGACACCTAATCAACAGGATTCGACGAGAGGGCAAAACCTCAACGAAACCTGCAATCCAACAGCAAAATCCAAGTAAATAAATAAGTTGTTAATCAAATGAACAGGGGGGAATATGTGCCATCAACCCCGTCTTCTAGCGATGCTCAGTTCTTCCCCTTCCATGAAAATTCGATGATGGAAAGCTTCTTAATTTCAAAGTGGATTAGCCATTAAGGACGCCTGGCATTTACTAGCACAGCATGAGAGAGGTTTGACGTCATTTTTTTTTTCCTTAGGAATACCAGCAATCTGATGGTTACTTTCCAGAGATTTGAGACATCATTCCACTTGTTATTAACACTCTTAGCAGTTCGAATTGTCAACACTCTTATAACCTCGCTTGGTTATGGTTGTTGCATTTGAGCACACCAGAAATGAAACAACGAAAACATAATGTAATAAAGTAGTACCAGAACGTAAAAGCTTTCAGAGTGAAGAGGAAGAGAATTTCTTCAGAGAATAAGCCAACCAGATGGGAAGAACTGTTATGCGGATGAAGTGACCTAGGAGCATACCTCAGAAGACCTCACATTTTGCTGGTTGAAAACAACATCGCACCAGAAACAGAAGCCTGGAAGACGCAGAGGGATTTACACAAGCAGCCACTGTACATTCTTTGATTTTATACTGGTAAGAGAAGACAAGAAGAATCAGACTTAACAGCCTATCTCTTAGGATGGGAGATGACAATTCCCACTGCACAACCTTCGCTAGCATTATTGGACATCTCCAGTTCCTCAGTTGCAATTGCTAGACTCTTCACATCACGGTCCATCATAAACTAATAGTGAATGGAGAATGGTTTCAAACTCATTCAGGGACCTGGAGGGCGAAAAACATACTCCCATCAGGAAACTAGAAGAGGTAACTAAACAGCATAAATATGACAAAAGAATAAAATCATGTAAACAGCCCTATAGTTCAGACTTAAAACTTGGAGAAACTTGAAAAAAATAAAAAGCAAACCATTTATTTGCATGTTGTCATGCATACACATGGAATGTAAAAATTGCCTTTTTTAGTAATGTTGCGCTTGACTATTGTCTTGTTGAGAATGCTGTATGATGTTACTGCAACCAGTGAGTGTTTGCAAGAGAGTACCAAAACACTCTAGTACAATAGTCGAGAAGCAAGTATAGGTAAAGACTACAAGCTCAGTGAAAATCATGAGAGCAATAAATTAACCCAGCTAGATGAAGAAGAAGGGAGAAAATGAATGACACCGACCATTTTCATCGAAATTTACTCTCTCTCCAGTGGAGAAGATGTTGTAGAAAAGAGCACTGAGAAAATATAAGAGTGATGTGAGCAACAGAAATCCACGGAAAGAACCCACTAGTTCAACAAAGAAACCAGCTCCAACTGTTCCCACAATGGCTGCTAATGTTCCAGCAGTATTTGATATTCCTACAAGCAAACGGAAAGCAGTTGCAACATATCATACTAGATTAAAATTTTAAAGTTATCTAGTATTATCTTGAACAAATAAATCAGAAAAAACTCATTATATATAACAGATTTAGTGGTACCATGTAGAACACCAGAATAACGTGGAGCAATCTCCTGGAAATAGAAAGAATGAATAGAAAATTAGACAAAACCTCAGAGATTAATGACAAGCATTTTAACCATTGCAACTTTGATACACCAACCTGAAGATTCACGAGAAAACCTGAATGACTAAAAGACTTTAGTCCAACAGCTATAGTTAGCCAAGCAGATGCAAGAAATGGATTTCTAGCAGTTGTCAAACCAGCAAGAGCAATCCCAGGACCAAAAAAGCCAATTGACTGCAGGGAAGATGATTTGATGCTTGCTATAAAATTTGTAGGAGGAAAATCAAGATTACATGCATGCATGCAGACAATCAAAACAAAAGGAGATAGAAATGAGATGTAGTTGCAGTCATATTAAAACAGAAAAGAAAAAGGGAGAGACCTGCATGATTTTTCGAGTCAAAGTGACACTTATACCACTGCGTATCAACATGTCTGACCACATACCGCCAAAGTATCCCATAAATCCCATCACACTCCATGGAACGGCACTAAACCATGCTGCTTGTTTGAGGTCAACATGATATATCTGTTCACGTCATCCACTTTTAGCCCTTGTTTAGCAATCTTCCAGTAAACATGTGCATGCAATGCATTTAGAGAACCACGATGATAGAAATGAAGTTGGCCTTACTGTGTTAAAATAAATGGGCATCCAGGAGAGAATAACAAAAAATCCCTGCAGAATTATTTTAAACCATTTCAAAATATTAGCACCAGAAGGTGATAGTGCATCCTCAGTACAGTTGAGTCTAGATATTAGATGCAAAACACTTCCACATATCCCAGTCATTCTAAGCAACATATTTAGCATAGGAGGAGAAAATTGATGACAAATTCTAGATTAAAAAAAAATGATGCGTGAAGTACCCAGCTATGCATGGCATTGGCAATAATTAGGGACCAGGTTGGCATCTTCGAGAGCAAGCGCCTGAAAGGAGGGATTATTCTGTTTGTCGTGGGCTTATTCTCCATGGGAAATGATTTCCAGCCCTTGTTTGATATGTACTCCAATTCATATTTTGATATCTGGGAACTGCGGTCAGGAGTACTTGATATTGCAGATAACCAAACCAAAACCCACAGGAATCCAGATAGTCCAAAAATCACAAACGGCCCAAATATACCACCTTTTGACATTAGGATTGGAGATAGCATGAGTCCTATTGCATTTCCAAATTGAAATCCAGCCATTGCAATCCCAACAGCCCTGGCTCGTTCTGTCTGTGGGAACCATCTAAAAGAAAAGGTTTATACAGTTTCTTCAACATTTTAGCTTCACCACCTTTCTAACTACAAACTAGAATCACATACTACATCATAAAACCATACTGAACAGCATCAAACAAGAGAATTAAATAAGATCATCCATACCTTGCTATCATGTTGTTCATACAAGGAAGAGCCACACCTTCAGCAATGCCAAGCATCGCTCGTGTAGCAAGTAGAGCCCATAACGAAGTATCTGCAGCCCATGGAGTAAGAAATGTAGCTAATGACCACAAAGCAACTCCCCATCCCATCACCACCTTACCACCATAATAATCCACTAGCGTCCCTCCCGCTATAGGTGAAATTAGGTATCCCCACAGGAAAGATGACTGCCACAAACATCATCCATCACTGAACAAGTAGAGAAAAATATGTCTAGAAATAAAGATTTCCAGCTCTTTCTTTAGATAATTGCTTGGATAACTTGTCAACGTTAATCCAATTTGGCAGGGCTAATACTATAGTTATATTTAAAAAAAAAAAAAAATTAAGCATACTTGTATTTTTCGTTAAAGAAACAATTAACTAAAATCATTCAACTTTTCTAAGTAACTGGGATGGCAAATTCAAGTTTGAGAAGATACATAGACAAGTAAAACACAAAAAATAAATAAATAAAAAATATAACCTGAACAACACCAGAGAAGGATCGGCTCCAACCATGAGCAAGAGACAAAGGTACAATCGCCACCGACATGACCACACGATCAGCATTACATAGAGCCAGTGCCAGAGCAAGCATGGACACCACTTTAATCCTCTCTGATGTTATAAACTCTCTAAAACTCGGCGCCTTCGGCTCGCAATCTTCGTTTAACGAACCGAACTGTGCGTCGTTCGATGAAACCCTAACTCGCAAGGACGGGACTGTACGAAATTCGACTGAGCCATTGAATCGTGGTTGAGTTGGGATCGAACTCGGTGAAAATGAAACGGTTCTAGAGCAGTTTTGGATTGAGGAGTTAACGAAACGAGAGGATTGGAGCTTGAAACGCGCGGATTTGTGATTTTGAAGTGGAATTAGAGAGTGGGTGCGAAGTGGCCGTCTGAGAGGGAGCGAAGAGTTCATTTTGTTTTTTTGAGCGACTGCTGCTGTCACACGCGAGACGAGCCGGCCAGATAGTATATGTACCGTTGATAGTTGTGAAATGACTGGAACTGCCCTCCTTTTGCACTTCAAATCAAGCTTTTCGATATGTAACCCAGCCATCGTGCTTAATACGAGTGAAATTAATTAACTGCACTTTTATTTTTTTAAAAAAAACTGTTAATTAACTAGTTTTTCAAAAACATATTCACATTCACGTATAGTGCCAGTAAATTAAAATTCACTCGCACTATTTACTAGTTTTCTATGAAAAAAAACTGTTCACTTTAATGAACGGTGCAACTGTAAGGGATATTACAATGTTCACTGAACAGTGTAGAATGGTGCGACTGCAAGAAATAGCTCCTGGTTGCTTTCTCTTTTTATGCATTTCAAATGCAATATTTAATGGGACCCATAAATAATAATATTTTTTGTTTCCAAACATTGTTGCATTTGTGCTTTAAGTAAAATACAGACACAATTTCTTAGACAAGCACTGTTTATAATAATATCGTTGAAAACAAATTAAATAAAATAATATATCTTAATTATCAAATAATCTAATTTTAAAAGATATAGTTAAAAATATTAATCCATGTTAAATCATTAATCATATGACCGTGAATATAAAATTGAGATAACTTTATAGACTAGAAAGGAAAAAAAGCACAGAGAACAATTTCTAACAAATCAAACATTAAATGATGAAATTGAAAAAAATAAAATCTAAATAGAAAAGCTATAAAAAAGAGTGAAGTCAACCTGTATTAATATCTTAAATTCATGACCCTTATAATGAGTTTCAGATTAATATCATGAAAGACAAACCCTACAAATACAATAAAACCGATAAAAACTACAGTTTTCATTATTCTTTGAGCGTGCAATAAAATTAAATAAAAAATTATCAATAATAAAATTGATATTACAATACGAATAAATATAATTCAACTTAAATTAATTTTTTTAAAAAATTACTGTTGACATTCACATAAATAGTACGAGTGAAATTAATTAATTGCACTGTTATTTTTTTAAAAAAAGCTGTTAATTAACTAGTTTTTCAAAAACATATTCACGTATAGTGCTAGTAAATTAAAATTCACTCGCATTATTTGCTAATTTTCTAGAAAAAAAAAAAAACTGTTCTCTTTAGTGACCAGTGTAACTACCAGAGATATTACAGTGTTCACTAAACAGTGTAGAATGGTGCGACCGCAAGAAATAGCTCTTGGTTGCTTTCTTTTTTTATGCATTTCAAATGCAATATTTAATGGAACCCATGAATAATAATATATTTTTTTTCCAAACATTGTTGCATCTGTGCTTTAAGTAAAATACAGACACAATTTTTTAGACAATGATGAAATTGAAAAAAATAAAATCTAAATAGAAAGGCTAGAAAAAAGAGTGAAGTCAACCTGTATTAATATTTTAAATTCATGACCCTTATAATGAGCTTCAGATTAATATCATGAAAGACAAACCTTAAAAAAACAATAAAATAAAATTCTTAATTAATAAATATTAAGGGATGAATTAGGAGAAAAACAATAAAAAAAAAGATATAAAACAAATCATATAGTAATTAAAAAGAATGGAGGCAAAATACAATATAAAAATAAATCAAAATCAAACCCTATATGATAAAATTGAAAACACGATTCAATTAAAAAAAACTGTTCACTTTAGTGAACAGTGTAACTACCAGAGATATTACAGTGTTCACTAAACAGTGTAGAATGGTGCGACCGCAAGAAATAGCTCTTGGTTGCTTTCTTTTTTTATGCATTTCAAATGCAATATTTAATGGAACCCATGAATAATAATATATTTTTTTTCCAAACATTGTTGCATCTGTGCTTTAAGTAAAATACAGACACAATTTTTTAGACAATGATGAAATTGAAAAAAATAAAATCTAAATAGAAAGGCTAGAAAAAAGAGTGAAGTCAACCTGTATTAATATTTTAAATTCATGACCCTTATAATGAGCTTCAGATTAATATCATGAAAGACAAACCTTAAAAAAACAATAAAATAAAATTCTTAATTAATAAATATTAAGGGATGAATTAGGAGAAAAACAATAAAAAAAAAGATATAAAACAAATCATATAGTAATTAAAAAGAATGGAGGCAAAATACAATATAAAAATAAATCAAAATCAAACCCTATATGATAAAATTGAAAACACGATTCAATTAAAAAAAATATAAAAAAAAAATAAAAAATAATTAAAAAAAAAATTAGTACAAAAATAAAATGAAATCAAATGATGAGAGAGAGAAAAATTAAATAAAATCAAATAGAAAATAAAAGAATAAGGAATTAGTTTTTTTTTTGAAAAGACACACAAATAGAAATTAAAAAATAAAAACTAAAATTGATACAAAAATTAAATAAAATCAAGTGATGAGGGAATACATAAAAAAAAATTAAAAAAAATTAAAAAAATCAAACATGAATAAGAAAAATAAAAACTAATTTAAATATAAAAAACAAATTAAAAAACACTTATATTTTACCCAAAAAAAAGAAAAAAAATTAAAAAAATCAAACATGAATAAAAAAAATAAAAACTAATTTAAATATAAAAAACAAATATATTTTACCCAAAAAAAAGAGAAAGCAAGGGGAAGGATAAGAAAAAAAACCCACCAGGGCCATACCATATGTCCATAATCCACCGTGAAGATCTTGGCGAGCCTCTCCTTGCACCATTGTAGATAGCAGTGTTTGTCCATCAGAAGAGCCTGCAACAGCCGCTTGAAGTGCGTGAGCTCCTCCTACTCGATGATGTATACCTAGCACGCGTCAACAACTACTCTGTTTTTCATTTTAGCTTTATCAAAATATTGCTTACCCAACAGAATATCAACAAAAACACTGTGATTCATACTGGGCTCTTTTCATATTTTTTAATCGGAACATGTAAACATGCATGTAAATGCTCATAGCATACCATATAACAATTCAATCTGACCGTGAAAGCAAATTAATATATATATATCCCAGAATTTATAAGGCATCTAACAATCCGTTCAAGCAGAAACGGGGGTGTTGACATTTTCTAACGGTGAGACGAGGAGGGACCTCGAAAGTGCAAGAGATGAACCCGGGTTCAATCCGGTCGACTTGGATTCCTCCAACAGAAAAATCTTCACAGAAGCTGCGTTCAATCCATTGTCAGTGAGGATGAATCTTGATTCTGGACTTCTGGACACGCTCTCTTATTCTTCTTCGCTCAGTGTCAAAAACTCCTTCGCCTTCGCCTTCGCCTTCTGGTCTTAATCTTCTCCACTCTCGCTGTAGCGACGCTGCTCCCTGGCCGGTCGTCATTTCCTATCCCGGGGACCCTTTTTAACTGCAGGAGTGTTTGGGCGCGCCGTCGTTCTCTCGATTAAACACGAAGTTGATCGTATTAAAAAGCATTAGTTTAGTCCCTGTAATCTAACCAAGTGATGGATTCATCCTCGTTCTGTAAGAAATGTGCTACATTTAATCCCTATTTTAACAAAATCAATTTATAATTAATCCTTTGAATTTCATCAACTTCATGTTCTTTTCCATTTTTTATCATTTTCTGAAAATCTGAAAAGGTAAAATATAAGTAAATATAATAGGAAAATCCAATGAGAAGAAAAGCAATTATTGGATAAAAACTATTAAATTGAGTTTGAGCTGCACTTGAAACTATATCAAACAAGGATTAATTAATTAGTTTTGACAAATTATAGGGACCAAGTTATAATTAAATGTCCACATTAAAAATAAAAATAAAAATAAAAACTAGTTAATTGTGTGTGTGTGTGTGTGTGTGTAAAGTTTAGAATCATTGTCGTGCTGGAAATGATTAAACAATCCCCTCAGTAATGTTAAATGTCCACAATTTAGTGCTTTTTGTTTAAAAAGATGCCTTCTGTCTTAATCAGGAATTCTCAACTTCTTTTTATTATTTTCTTTATTTTATTTTTAAAAGAGGAATTAAAATAAATTGGAAATAATAAAAATAAAAAAATATATGGATTAAATATATAACTTATGAGATTATGAAGTTTAGGCAGGTTAGTTTTTTCAAACAATTGGGGAGGGACTCAGTTATTATCTAATTACCAAAAAATAAAAAAATATAATTGTTAAATCCAATTTTACTTGACGAATTGATTATTGATGTGAAAAACCCATAATCCAGGCTAAGTTATAATTAATGTAGGCCAGGTTTTTTTTAACTCCGTAAAAAGACCGGCTAGTTATAACTTAATAAATGTAGTTTATCAAAGGTAATTAATGAATCCCTGTAGTATTATAAGTAATTAAACTATCCCTTCACTAAAATACATAGTTGTTCAATTTAGTTCGGTTTAATAAATTGATCTAGAAATCAATGCCATAGAGCTTGATCCAAGATGGGTTCTAAATTGGTTGGGAAATATATTGACTTTATGACCTCTAGTTAACTCAATGAATTTTTAATGACTTGATTACCTAATAATAATAATTGATTTAAATTAATTAACTACCTAATAACCCCAAAGATCTTAACTGAAAGTTTCTGGTGATTGTTATGATAAAAATGTGTTTTGCCCACAATAAATGTAAACATATTTGTTTTTATATTTTTAAAATATTTTTCTACTTTAAATTATTTTTTATGTGTTTAGATTATTTTAATATTTTAATGTGGTAATATTAAAAATAATTTTGTTAAAATAAAAAATATATAATTTTAATATAGTTTTAAAAAATTTAGAAACAAACATTTTATAAATACACATTAAAAAAATTAGTGGTGCAGTACATGGTGCAAACTTGTCAGATTGTTGTAAGATCTGAAGTTAAGTTTTAATAAATAAAAGCGAAGTTAAAGAATCCGAGGTTTAACACTTCTCCCAAGACTTGGCCTCGTGATTTAAAGCATAGATTTGGTGTACGAGAACCACGAGTGGGTAAACTTCTATGCCAGTTGTAGCATCCATGGTGGAGTTGACCGCTGTCTGTTTTAGGCATGCTTTTTAAGGTTATGTTTATTTTTATATTTTTAAAGTATTTTTTTAAAATTAAATTAAAATTT